ATTACAAGGCATGAGAATAAAGGATCATTTCCTTTGATCCTTTGATCATTTGGAACACATTATTATTATGGTTAAGTAATCATATTAAGGTCATAAAGTAAGTATTTCAAATTTGGGTAAAGATACCCTTTAATTAAGTACATTCATAATGAGGTTTTGTATTATTAGGTGCATCTGATGTTAGCAATGAATCAACTGAAGATGAAGTGAAACAAAAACCAAATGAAGACAAAGGTATCAGTTATTATGTTTTATTCCATAGGAAGCCATAAGATGAAAGGACCACACATTGGTTTATATGTGATACCAGGGCAATATCTATATTCCCTAGGAAGTATGAAATATTGCCCTGAAATGGCAAATCTGCAACCTTTGACCTTTTGCCTCAGGACAGATTTGTCCCGAGAGGTCGGTGGCAAAAGAACAGGAAAAGCCCCTGCAAGTCTCCTCCTTTACTGAAATAAAATAGGCTGTCTTTATATAAACCAAAAATTTGCATAAGGCTATATAGTGGGTCTCAAATTAGATACAGTATGATGTCACTTCCTGACAACGCAATGAATATACAATTATCACTAGACATAAAATGATGTCGCCACTTGAAGCAGTTATTACCATCCTGTGCTACTTCTGCTTGATGTAGAGCGCTTTTATGTTGATAAATATTAACATTCATCCCTAACATTCATCATTATGCCTTCCAATGGAATGAGTTAGTTACAACATGGCTTCTCGATCGGGATATATCTGATATGCACCTCAAATAATATTCATAATCCCTAGGGCTACGCCCTCGGGGTTATGAATATCATTTTCGGTGTATATCAGATATATCCCTCGAAGCCATGTTATAACTATTACTTAATTTATAATTCTTATACAGGAGTCACTCTACTATACACTGGAATGATGTATTATGAAAAGAAAGAAGTTAATCAGTGGATGAGTATATTTTCTGTTGTTCAAGATTTAGACGTCCTTTGGAGTGTATGTAATGTACATGTAATTTATGAAAAACTTCATTTCAATTAGAAATTATAGTATTTAGAGAATGAACATCCTGAAGCTGAAAAAGATGGTCCAATTGTTTCTGAATTCAAATACAATGAACCTGATGGCATCCTTCAGTTGTGTCTACAAGATGCTCCATCACTTGAATCAGGATGGACTGTACATCCTAACCAATCCCCAATGCAAGTATGTACAGTGTACATGTGTATAATACACAGTATGACTGGTACCTATTATTATAGATACGTCAATGTGTAGTGGACAAGTTTATAGATGATCCTACATGTAAGCGTTCCAGTATCCATATATCAGTGTATGCTAAACCTGGTATTGCTAAGGACCCACTTTCATTGTCCCATTGAACTAACTGGAATAGATCCTTCAAAAATAATTTACATCAACAGATCGC